GCGGGGCAGGATTCAACGAAAGGCAGGAGATCGAGACCCATCCCCTCTGGGCTAACACGGTGGAAAACCGTCTCGCTAAAAAAAAATACAAAAAAAAAAAACAACTAGCTGGGGCAACGGTGGCGGGCGCCTGTATGGGTTTCTCAGCTACTCGGGAGGCTGAGGCAGGGAAAGAATGGCCGTTAAACCCGGGAGGCGGAGGCTTGCAAGTGAGCCGAGATCCGGCCCCACTGCACTTCCAGCCCGCTGGCGACAGATGTGACGCACTACGTCTCAAAAAAAAAAAAAAATTTGGCGCAGCGAGTGACTCATGCTTTTAATCCTAGCACTTTGGGAGCCGAAGCGGGTTGGATCACGTGAGGTCAGGAGATCTGAGGGACCACCTGGCTAAACCACGGTGAAACCCCCCTTCTATTACTAAACAAGGCTTGACAAAAACTAGCCCGGGCGACGTGGCGGCGTGCTGTAGTCCCCAGGCCACCTCGGGAGGTGCTTGAGGGCAGGGGGAGAAGATGGCACTTGAACGCGTTGGGACGGCGGAGCTTGCAGCGTGAGCCCAAGATGCGGCCACCACTTGCACTTCCAGGCCGTCGGGGCGGGGGAAATAGAGTGAGATCTTGTCTCAATAAATAAATAATTAATTAATTGAATTGAAAAATTAAAATTAAATTAAATAATTTGGCCAAGGCGGTGGAGTGGCTCATACTCTGGTAATCCCAGCCACTTTGGAGGCGCCGAGCCCAGGTCCGAGGGCGGGACAGATCACCTTGACGGTCTGGAGTTTGAGATCAGGCCCTGGCGCCAACCACATTCGTAAAACCCGCTATCTCTACTTAATCAAAAATTTGTAGAGGCGGCGTAATAACTGTAGCGGCCATTCGCGGTCGGGCATCTCGCCTGTAGCTTGCTCTCAGCTACTCAGGGAAGGCTGAGGGCAGGAGAATCACTTGAACTCCGGGAGGGCAGAAGATCTGCAGGTGAGGCCCAGAGATTCCACACCATTGCAATTCGCAGGGCCTGGGGCAACCAAGAAGATTTGCGAAACTCTCCTTCGTTTATGAGCTGAGATCCGGCCACTGCACTCCAGTCTGGGCGACAGAGCAAGACTTCTTCTCAGAAAAAATAAATAAATAAATAAATAAAGCCCGGGTGTGGTAGTTCACCCCAGTAATCCCAGCATTTTGGGAGGCTGAGGCAGACAGATTGCTTGAGACCAGGAGTTTGAGACCAGCCTGGGCAACATGGCAAAACCCCATCTCTACTAAACATACAAAATTTAGCCAGGCTTGGTGGCACATGTCTGTAATCCCAGCTACTCGGGAGGTTAAAGCACAAGAACCGGTTGAACCCAGGAGGCAGAGATTGCAGTGAGCCGAGATTGTGCCACTACACTCTAGCCTGGGCAACAAAGTGAGACTCTGTCTCAAAACAAACAAACAATAAAAGGTCCCCTTCGGCAGTAGTAGACGTGAGAGTTAACCCACCTCGAGCACTTGGTCATCAATCTGCCTTCCTCCTGGACAGCAGACACTGGGCAACATCAAATGTGCAGTCCCTAAAATACATCAAAGCTAGGATCACTTCCCCTCCTGGGTAGCTTGGGACCCCCAGTCCCTTTGGAAGAGCTGGCTTATTTTCTTTTTAGGAGGCCTTCCTGCATCTCTAGTCATCAGGTTTAGGTCACACACTGATCAGCCCTGCCACATAGCGGAGACTCCAAAGATGGAGCAGCTCCAGTGGGTGCCAAGGTTCAGAGCAGAGTCTTGAGAGCCTGAGGGGCAGGAGGAGGCAAAGGTCTCTGAGGACCAAGGGGTTTGGCCACAGTCCCTGAAGCTCTCAGGTGGTGGGGCTTCTGTGAGCAGGCACATCCCTTATGCATGTGTGATTGTGTGCTTGTGTGCTTGTGTGGTTGGGGGGTCCTTCCTGGAGGAGGCACCTAGGTTGAGGGCCCCAGGCTGGGAATGGGGTGGGGCCTGTTGTCAAGGAAGAGAACTCAGCCCTGGAGGTTTCCGTGAGAGCTCCAGTCACAGGAGCCACAAGATAAGAAGAGAGTGGCTGCAGAACCCAGGTGGCAGGCCTTTCCTCAGGCCCCTTACTCCTGACCTGGACGAGGCTGGGGCTTCCTCACAGAGGTAGGAGGTATCCTGGCCAGCAGCGCAGCCAGAAGCTCTAGGAGGAAGGTGCTGTGGTCGGGGACTCTGCTGCCCTAGATATGATTTCATTTCCTTCCATGCAGATGGCTGGGTGGGTTCCTGCTCTGTTGAGTGAATGTTCCCCGGCAGTGGCCAGATGCTTGCTCTGCCCTCATCCCTCCACTGGGGTCCTGGGGAGGTGTGGCAGATCCTTAGGAAGGAGCTCTTTCCTAAGGCTGATTGGAGAATGTGGGGTGGGGGGGGACAGAGGGGTGCTCCTGACAGGTCCTAGTAGCTGGGAGAGTCCCCAGGGTATAGACTTGAGGGCCTAAATTATGGGAGACCGAAGGCCAGGGCCAGGGGGCCCCTTCCTGAATCCAGTCCACAGGGTTAACCCCTCATTTCCAGAGCCTATCTCCTCCCCCACACCCACCCACACAACCCAGCACCAGGAAATCCAGAGCCCAGAGCACTGTGGTCACAGGGACACATGTGGCCCTGGGTGTGGCCGGGACACGTTGCAGGCGGCTGGGGACATGATGTGGTCCGCAGATCTCCCAGGGCAGGGCAGAGGGCCACTGTTTGGGAGAAGCACCCCAGGCCCCCTCTCTTAGAGAGGGGGCCTAGGGGCAGCAGAGGAGCCACCTGGGTCGGACCCCTGGGGACAGTGGGAGGGGTAACAGGGAGAGTGGAGGGGCCTGAGACAGGCCGCGAGTGGGTGCCCAGGACAGGGATTCGCCCAGCCAGCGGGAGGGCCCTTGGGGATGACGGCGGGAGGGCTGGGCGCCCCCTGGTGGCCACACTGTGCGGTGCCGCCGCTCCCCGCACATCCTTCGCGGGGCCCTGTGACTTTGTTACCCTCCTCGTGAGGCCACTCCGCCGGGTGGCCTGAATCGAGGGTCAGGACTCCATCGTCGCGCTCTGCCCCTCGCCCGCCCCTCTCAGGCTCTCTGACCGCCACCCCTGCCCGCCTGCCTGGCCCTGCACAACATGCAGCCCGCGGGCCTTGAGGGTCCCGGTACGTTTGGTCGGTGGCCTCTGCTGAGTCCGCTGCTCCTGCTCCTGCTCCTGCTGCTGCTGCTCCAGCCTGTAACCTGCGTCTACACCACGCCGGGCGCCCCCAGAGCCCACACCATGCCAGGCACCTATGCTCCCTCGACCACACTCGGTAGTCCCAGCACCCAGGGCCTGCGAGAGCAGGCACGGGCCCTGATGCGGGACTTCCCGCTAGTGGACGGGTGCGTAATTGCTGCAAGGGGGCTATGGGACTGAGCGCACTCCTGGGCAAGGGAGGGTCCCAGAGTATGCAGGGCTGTGGAGGAGGCTCCCTCACATCTCACCTGGATGCCCTCTCCCGTCATGCATGGATACTCTTTCCCCTCTGTCACCCCCTCTTGGGTGGGCACTCCTAGCCCGGGCCTCAGGGGGTCTCAGTATAGTCGTGTGACAATGTGGGATGGGGATCCCCAGATGTGTCCTTCCTGAACTGGAAGGCTAAGAGGCCCATCTGTCTGTTCTTCACCTGACCCTGCCTTGACATCCCTCCAGCCACAACGACCTGCCCCTGGTCCTGAGGCAGGTTTACCAGAAAGGGCTACCGGATGTTAACCTGCGCAATTTCAGCTACGGCCAGACCAGCCTGGACAGGCTTAGAGATGGCCTCGTGGGCGCCCAGGTACCACAGGGATACATGAGGTGCCACAGCATGGCTGCTGGGGTATGTTGGAGAGAGTGGGGACCCCAGAGATCACAAGTTAGTCACATGAGAACTCAGTTACCATAGTGACCCCAAAAGTGTCATGATATGGATGCTGGGGGCTGCAGAGGCTACAATGAACCAGCTTGGTGGCCAGGAAGACCCCGTGGAAGAAGCAGTGCATTACATGTGACCTCCTGGCCCACTGGGTGCTGTGTCAGCTGTGGAGGCTGTGAGCAGTCCAGGGTGCTCCAAAGCAGCCCCTGTCCAAGCCAACCCCTGGCTTTCCCCCCAGTTCTGGTCAGCCTACGTTCCATGCCAGACCCAGGACCGGGATGCCCTGCGCCTCACCCTGGAGCAGATTGACCTCATTCGCCGCATGTGTGCCTCCTATTCTGAGCTGGAGCTTGTGACCTCGGCTAAAGGTAGGTGAGTTGATGGGAAGTGTTAGGAACTTGATTGAGCTACTCCAGACCTCGAGAGTAATCACCTGACCTACCTGCCCCCAGCCCTGAATGACACCCAGAAATTGGCCTGCCTCATCGGTGTGGAGGGTGGCCACTCGCTGGACAATAGCCTCTCCATCTTACGTACCTTCTACATGCTGGGAGTGCGCTACCTGACGCTCACCCACACCTGCAACACGCCCTGGTGAGCCTAGCACAGATGGTGTGGGACTGCCGCGGCAGGGGCAGAGATGTGCCTGAGGTCACTGTGGTCCCAGAACAAGCTTTACCCATGGGGTCTGGCACTGACTCGAGTGGGGAGGGAAGCTGGGATTCTGGTTTTCAGAATATGACTGGACCCCTGGCCAGACGTGGTGGCTCACACCTGTAATCGCAACACTTTGGGAGGCTGAGGCGGACAGATGACTAAAGGCCAGGAGTTCGAGACTAGCCTGGCCAAGATGGTGAAACCCTATCTTGACGGAAAATACAAAAATTAGCCATGCGTGGTGGTGCATGCCTGTAATCCCAGATACTCGGGAGGCTGAGGCATGAGAATCTCTTGAACCCAGGAGGTGCA